TTTTCCTCCTATCTCTCTCTCTCTCTCTCTTCTTCTCTCTTTTCTTCAAATAAATATAAATTATGTGCAGGGATGTAGTTTGAAGTAACATGGTTGACTCTTAGCAGAGTCTGCAGTGTGTAGAACTAAAGAAAAACCAGACTAGTAATTTCCCATAGCCAGACCCATCCCCAGCTCTATCTGAAACTGGCAGACAGAAACAGATAAGATAACAATAGCCCATGCTGTCTGTCACAGCCCTCCTTCTCTCTGTCAGGTAATATTTACATGTTTGAAATGGACAGAGCTTCTACAGTAGTTTCTATTGTAGTCCCCTTGGCCCTGAACACTGCTTAGACTTATCCAGACCCTTCAGATCTGCAAACAGAAGAGTTAGGGCCAAGAGGAATGGGAAGGCAGCAAACTGGGGTGTAAAAGTGCTCCAGGTGGACTATGGTCTTTATCATGGACTCGGTGGTTGTGCACTTGAGCCAGGTGAAAGGTCAAATATCAGAGGTTGTGTCTCTTCACCTGTACTCTAGCCTCTGTCAGATCCGTCCTCAACGCCAGTTGTTCTCTGACGTAGACGTCAGGGTAATGTGTCTTCTGAAACACCTTCTCTAGTTCCTCCAGCTGGTAGGAGGTAAAGGTGGTACGGTTACGTCTCTTCTTTCCCTTGTTGCTGTCGGCCGCCTCGCTCCCCTTGTCCATGAGACTGGAGAGGTGGTCGGAGCTGGGGCCCTGACCTTTGACCCCTGACCCTGGTTCCTTCAGGTTCAGGTAGGAACCTTCCATCCCGGGGGAGTCGGTGTTGGGGGTGTGCTCAGATTCGGTTAGACCGCCGTTGTCTTTGGCTGTTGGGAGGGAGAGAGAAGAGAGTACAGTTCAGGGGATGTGTAAGGAACGGCAAGTCAGAATTAGTTTTAATTTGACCATACTCTTCTCCTGAGTTATATTTTAATAAAGACCGTTTCTGTTCATTGTGATTATGTCAACTTGTGACTGACAGCCCTAACTAACTAACTGACTAACTGGTCCACCTCCAAGCCCAGAGGGCTCTCTGCTCACCCTTAAGCAGTCTCCATATGGAGTGACGTACTTTACGCCCTCCACTCTTTCCCTGTAATGCTTTTGAAGGTTCAAAGGTCGCTCTACAGCGAGTTTAAAAAGAGATTCAGAGGAGAAATCTGCTTCTCTGTTTGACGGGTATGTCACAACAATACACTTTAACTGTGACCTGTGACACAACGCTCGCACATGCACACGCACACATACCCCTCCGCCTCACGTTACTCAATCCCCAATCACGCCATCTGAAACATGAACCATACAGAACCGGCCCAACCCCATGTATGGTGGGCCTTGTGTATCAAGGCAACCACGCTACCCACACACGTACACACGCACAGACACGCACGCACCACCTCTCAGACATAAACAATATTATGTCTTTCACTTTCAATTTCAATATCCTCCATTTTGTGTATTTTGTGACAGACTCTATTCCTGTTTTCTAAAATATGATGTTTTTGTTCCATTTTTAGGTAGCCCAGATGATGAATAAAGCAGAGCCTTCTCCTTCTCCTTTGATAAACAAACAGCTGTGTGGATAAATAAACTGAAGGGTTCTGGTTCTAGAATAAGCAGGGGGGTTCTAGAACTTGTGGTTCGAGGTTCTGGTAAAACAGTGTACTCTCTGTTCAGACTGACTCTCTGTTTGCATTTCCTGGCCATGGTTTGCTCTTATCCTGGGTAGTGTTCAGTAGGGCTTCAAGAGTTTTCAAACGTTTTCAAACTGCAAACTATACACTATCAGCTCAGGAGTCTGAAAGGAATATCAGTACGCCTTAGTGGGAAACGGTTATGTGTGTCAGAGTTGGTAAGATCACGGCATAGTTTAGCAGTGACAGAGACGGTTAGCTAGGCATATGCTACATGTATTGTTTGTTTTCCTGGATTAGCAGGCCTCTGGCTAACTACGGCTAACAGACTCTGGCTAAACCCACATTGAGATGTCAAAATGTCTTCCCTGTCTGCCATAACAACACCCATAACACCCCAGGGCCCGTCTCAGAGTAGGAGTGCTAATCTACAATCTGGTACCCTCCTGTCCATATCATTGTATTTATTTATTGGCGTCTATCCATAAGAGTCTCTGGACTTGTCTCAGGGCAAGTCTCTGGTAAACCCACCTTGAGATGTCAATAGTCATTCCTGTCTGCCATAACAACACCCCTAAAAGCCAGCCCCTATCAAGTAAAGCCTTCTTCAGAGCTCCACCTGCTGGAGTTCATGACCTCGTATATTACTGAAACGGCCCCGCCCCATCTGTTGGTGGCTGAATCCCAAATCCCCACCTTCCCCCCCTCCGTTTGCTCTTGTTCATGCGTGCCTCTGCCATATGAATGGAGTGACTTTTGTGCCGTTTTAATATCAAGCAAAAGTTGCTGAAGTCGAGAACAAAATTCTTGATACTGCAAACAAAACATAAACCCAAAAGTATTGAGAGCAAAAATATATACATATATGTATTGCAAGGAAATAATTTTGAAATACGCGAACAAATGAATTGTAATGAATGCAAAAAAAAACACATTCTGTGAAACAGTTTTAATGATAACTCAGTTGTGATCAAACGCCTCCCTCTTTAACTGCATGTTTTTTTTTGGGGGGGGGGGGGCAGTTGAAAGTTCTGCATCATCTATGACACCCTCTAAACCCTGCCTACATGGATTGAATTTATATAGCACCTTTCTACTTAATGATGTGCTTTTACATAGTAAGGGGGAAAGCTCACCTCATCCACCACATGGAACCCACTTGGGTGATGCACAGCAAACATTTTGTGCCAGAACACTCACCACCAGTGGAGGCTCCTCAGAGGAGGAAGGGGAGGACCATCCTCCTCAGTGAATTTCTATTTTTTTATTTATTGTAAAACATTTAAAAAGTTCTCCTTTTTAGATAAAACTATACTAAATATAATCACGTCACCAAATAACTGATTAAAACACACTATTTTGCAATGAAGGTCTACAGTAGCCTCAACAGCACTCTGTAGGGTGGCACCATGGTGTAGCCGGAGGACAGCTAGCTTCCATCCTCCTCTTGGTACATTGACTTCAATACAAAACCTAGGAGGCTCATGGTTCTCACCCCCTTCCATAGACTTACATAGTAATTATGACAACTTCCGGAGGTCGTCCTCCAGCCTATCAGAGCTCTCGCAGCATGAACTGACATGTTGTCCACCCAATCAAAGGATCAGAGAATGAATCTAGTACTGAAAGCATAAGCTACAGCTAGCTAGCACTGCAGTGTATAAAATGTGGTGAGTAGTTGACTCAAAGAGAGAAAGACAAAAGTTTAACAGTTTTGAACAAATTAATTGCTTCCAAAATGAAGGAGAAGCAAGAGAAATAGAGAGAGAGAAAGATTGTCATTTTTTTTCACTTTCAGTTTCACTTACTTAGCTATCAAATGCAGCTAGCTAGTTTAGCCTACTCAAACACCCTGCTCAAACAGAGGGATGCTATGTTAGCTAGCTGGCTATGACTATCCAACACAACACTGGAACTCTTCCAAGTCAAGGTAAGCTTTTGGTTTTACTAATTTATTGCCACCGGGGCCCGCCGGTCTAACTGTTTACTGACTATAAACGTTACTGCATGATTGTAGCGGGTTTACTAACGTGTTAGTTCTATTAGCTATGTTGACTAGGACGTTACTTTAGCTAATATGGGGACAACGATGTAGGCCAGGGGTGTCAAACGTCTGGCCCGCGGGCCGGATCAGGCCCGCAAACGGGTTTAATCCGGCCCGCGAGATGATTTTGTAAAGTATAAAAATGGCTGCAATTTTTCTATAAAATAAACTGCTGTTCCAATTGCGTCCACTGGATGGCGCAATAGCAATTGTGTTAAGCAAGCAAACTGTTTATACCGGGGCAGAGCAAGTAGGTCAAGTCTGTGTTTACTCACAGCCGAGACATCAGTGACGCTGCAGTGAAAGCTAGCTACCTCATTGCTAATGAAATCGCAGTGGTTTCAAAACCATTTAGTGAGGGTGAATTTGTAAAAGCATGCATGATGAAGGCAGCTGAGATTGTGTGCCCTGAAAAGCGTCAGGCTTTTGTAAATATCAGCCTGACAAGAAACACAGTTGCAGACAGGATTTCCGATCTTTCAGTGGATTTGGACAGCCAGTTGAAGCAAAAAGTAAAGTCATTTATTGCGTTTTCGGTTGCAATTGATGAAAGCACGGACATTACAGATGTTGCACAACTGGCCATTTTCATCCGCGGAGTTGATGACACATTGACCGTCACCGAGGAGTTCGTGGAGTTGGTGCCGATGACAGATACAACGACAGCAGCTGATATTTTTACCGCACTCGTCGGCGCGCTGGACAGGGTCGGAGTGGACTGGTCCCGCGCTGTCAGCCTGGCTACAGATGGTGCGCCCTCAATGATCGGGAAAAAATCAGGCGTTGTGACAAAGTTCAGAGAGAAAGTGCAATCTGCAAATGGAGGACGTGATTTTTTGACTTTTCACTGTATTTTGCACCAGGAGGCTTTGTGTTGCAAGTCATTAAAGATGGATAACGTCATGAAGGTGGTCATCCAAACTGTTAATTTCATCCGATCCAGAAGCCTGAATCACCGTCAGTTTGACAGCCTTCTCAGAGAGAAAGACCACATCTATGGCCTGCCAAACCACACTGAGGTAAGATGGTTAAGCCGAGGTGCTGAGGCGTTTCTTTGATTTACGAGAAGAAATTGAACAGTGTTAGAATTCCATTCCGCAGAATGGATGCAGGACCTTGCATTTATGGTGGATGTTACAGAGCACCTGAATAACTTGAACAAACAGCTGCAAGGGCGCAACAAAGTTGTCACGCAGTATTATGACAGCATACGTTCTTTCAAGTTGAAGCTGTCATTGTGGGAGACGCAACTTGCCGGTGGTGATGCAGCTCACTTCCCCTGTCTGAAAAATGTGTGCGCAACCCAACATGTGGCAGACATGAAGCGGTTCAAAGATAAAATAACGGGACTGTTACGGGAGTTTGAGCAACGCTTTCAGATTTTTGGTGAACTGGAGAAAGACTTGCTCGCCATTCACCGTGAATCCCTCTGATCTGCCCGTCAGCATCCAACTTGAAATAATAGACTTGCAGTGTGACTCGGATTTGAAGGGCAAATTTGCCGCAGCTGGCTTGGACACATTTAATCAGAATCTCTTGCCAGGTTACCCCAACTTGACAGCCCTCGCTGCAAAACTGTTGTGCATGTTTGGAACCACATATCTTTGTGAGCAAGTTTTCTCTGTAATGAGCATAAATAAAACAAAGCTGCGCTCAAGGCTCACGCACAAGCCCTTGAATCACATCCTGAAGTTGGCTGCCACTCAGGATGTGATGCCTGATATTGATGCGCTGGTGAAAGCTAAAAGATGCCAGGTATCAGGAGTCAAATAAACTATGCAACCCCACTTAAAGTGCTACATGAGACACCCTGATATAGTTCTGTGATCTGTGATATACTTCTGTGAATCACTGAGGCATTGTGTGTTTGTGTGTTCTTTGTCCTCAGAACTTTCAAATAACTTGAGGTGTTTTATGATTAATAGTGATGTTGTGCTTTTGGACACACTGTCCTCAGGCTCCAGCTTTATGTTTATATGTTTTTATGTTGATGTGCTATTGTTTTTAATTTATTTTATTTTATTTGTATATTTAACCTATTCTTGACTCTGTGGTTCTTGCACTTGTTTGGGGAACATAATTTCATTCTTTTTATCTACATTTCTGCCTGAGAAATGACCCCCTGATATAGTTATGTGATCTGTGAAACAGTTCTGTTAATCACTGAGGCATTGTGTGTTTGTGTTCTTTTTCTTTAGAATTTTCAAATAAACTTGACGTGTTTTATGATTAATAGTGATGTTGTGCTTGTACTATTTTGGACACACTGTCCTCAGGCTCCAGCTTTATGTTGTATGTTGATCGTATTAAAACAAAGAAAACAATCTGAAGTTGTTGTTTTTAAGTTATATATACCATGATTTTTCCGGTCCGGCCCACTTGGGAATAGATTTTCCTCCATGTGGCCCCTGAGCTAAAATGAGTTTGACACCCCTGATGTAGGCTGTGTGTAGCGGTTATGATATGGTTTGGCTTGGAAAGGTTTTTTCGCCTGGTCACATACAGCTGATTTGTTGTGCATTGAAGTCCACAAGCGAAGGGAAGAGAAGGAATACAACGTGGCTGTTATGACAGTGAACTCTGTTTACGTGTGATCAGGGGTGTATTCATTCCGCCGGTTCTGTTGAAAAACGTTTCTTAAATGGAACGAAACGGGGGACAACATACCTGAGTTTGCAACTATTGGACTAATGATTACACCCTATGTCAGCTAGATGCAGGCAAGAGTGTGCAAGGCGGTACACATTTTTCTCTCAACCTGTGTGCACCTACGTTGTAAACTTTCATTCATAGGCTAGGTTGTAGCAACCTCATTTACATTTTTACATTTTAGTGGCCTGGATTCGAACCAGGATCTCTAGTGGCACAGCTAGCACTGCGATGTACAGTGCCTTAGACCAACCACTGCGCCACTCATGATGGGTATAGTACGGTGGAGAGGTGGAGGCATGATCTATGTCGATTAGGAGTGAGTGGGATGATTAGGTGACCGTGATGGAATGGGGCCAGGTTGGTAATTTAGCCAGGACACTGGGGTTAACACCCCTAGTCTTACATTACTTTCCAAGAATCAGGACATCCGTTTAACATCCCAAAAAGATGGCAACCTACACAGGGTAACATCGCCATCCCTGCCCTGCCCTGGAACAGCAACCTACACAGGGTAACATCGCCATCCCTGCCCTGCCCTGGAACAGCAACCTACACAGGGTAACATCGCCATCCCTGCCCTGCCCTGGAACAGCAACCTACACAGGGTAACATCGTCATCCCTGTCCTGCCCTGGAACAGCAACCTACACAGGGTAACATCGCCATCCCTGCCCTGCCCTGGGACATTGGCATTGGCTCTTAAGACCAGTGCTCCCTACTGGCCATCCAGCGGCATCTGTTCTCCCATCCAGGACTGACTCTGCTTAGCTGCAGAGGCCAACCGTCGGTGGGATGCTGGGCGCTATGCTGCAGGAAGGAATGTGTTTGAACTTGCAACTGCAAAAAAAAAGGCAGCTAAAGCAAAGGCCAGGCTAACATAACCAGAGATAGGGACAATAGCAGTAAAAGAGGGAGTTTGCGTTTGATAGAAATCTTCAAAAATGTTTCACTGAAAAAATGTAATTGTTCTCGCATTTCAAAATGATTTCCCTGCAAGAATAAATTCTTTGCTCTCAATAATTTTGCTTTTAATATCATTATTTTTGTTTGCAATACTAAACATTTTGTTCTCAGTTCCAGAAGTTTTGCTTGATATTAATGTCACAGAAGTAACTCCATACTATGTGCACGTGTCCCAAAGTTGAGAGTGAAAATTATGGAGGCTGTAGGGGCTAATTAGACCCTCCGATATCCACTTTGACCGAGTAAACTACGCCGCCGGCTTCAGAGCGAAGTGATATCCCATAATGCACTCGTTTTTGAGATTGTACAATTTCACACAAAAGAATGGCGAGCCATGCCTAATTGTGATCCACCTGGGGGGCGCGTTCAGCAGGATGCAACGTTTTTAAACATTCAGAGAGAAAAATGCTATGTAGAACAAACATGCCTCTCAGACATGTAGAATAAGGAATCACATTGGTTATAATCAATGGTATTTCTATCTGCAACGTTCGACAACGTTTAACAACTGAACGCGGCCCTTTATTTATTAGTCAGATTTTGAGACCTGACAAATGTAACATATGAAATACCTCCCAAATTAAATGTTTAACTGTTACTGAGGTTTATATCATGTAAAAAAAAAAAAAAAAAAAAGGGGATTTTCTCATTTGAATTTCATGCTCGTTTTATTGTGTAAATGTTAAACAATGAATTGCGTCGTTTGAGTCACGAGTGTGTCCCGAAGTTGATGGGTTTATCGATCCCCTTGCCACTGTCTGGAAGTCACCCTCAGATTTCCGGAGCAAACAGGTGAAAACGAAGGGCCCTTCCGAGCCAGTTGGTAGGGGCGAGGGGCGGTTTGGGATTCACCAGGTGTCACGCTGTCCCAGTTTCTCGAACTCAGGCACACATCTGTGACATCCTCAACCCCCCGACCTGCTCCGTGTTCCCTGCTCCCTGCCTCTGGCCTCCTATATGATGTAATATGATGCCCCCCCCCCCCCCCCCCCCCCCCTCTCTCTCTAGCCTAGGGCAGCACTGTTACTGGATGGTTGTGAAGTGGGAGCGGTCAGTTAAAGGTTCCTGTTTGGTTACTGGCACTGAGCCAGCCTGCCGTTATGCCCTGGAGCAAGGCAGCCACATATCCCGCCTTGCCTGCATGAATTCTCAGAATAACGTAGGCCTCTACAGTATCTACAAACCATCACAGTCTTTCCCTTCTCTCATCGATAACGTAATAATAGATATTGGATACAATTTCTATTCTAATCCCAAATCACAGTTGGAGTTTTCTTTAGTGTGTTCGTTCATTGCACTGCGTCAAGTCTTACCTGGTATAGGCTACAGGCTCTATTGATGACCGCAGCTGGGGTCAAGTGGTACGGGTAGATTTATCAGGAAGCACAGGTTGAACAGAGCAGTTCTCAAAGCTTCCCACGGAATCTGCATTCCTGTACGAACTAGTCGCTGGCATTGATCTCTCCTCAGTCCACAGAAACATCTGGGAGATGAACCTCCCTCCCTAACTCTCTACTGAACACTACTGAACCTGAACTCACAGACAGATATACAGACAGACAGATATACAGACAGACAGAGGGACAGACAGACAGAGGGACAGACAGACAGACAGACAGAGGGACAGACATACAGACAGAGGGACAGACAGACAGAGAGACCTGGTGCTGGTGACATCTCTGGGCTGGCTGAACTATATAGAGTTAAATAAATGCAAAGACTAAGCAAGAACAAACTGTGCATTGACACTTTAGAATGAAGCCAGAGTAGGGAAAGGGCTCATATCTCACATCTGTGGTACAGTGGCTTTTTAAAACAGCATCTCTCTCTTCACTCTCTCTTTTTTTTAAAGCCTCCCTTCCCCTCTTTAGTGTATGGTCGTTCCCCAGGTAGCTAATTTATAGTGTTTCTTTTATTTGCCTTCAGTTGACCCTTCCCATCTCGTTCTTTAAAGCAGTAAGGACACCCTGCCGCTTTACAGCCAGTTAAATTACACTTTGATGTTTTCTCTCTGTTTCTGACTGGGATGAAACGTCGACCCCAGTAAATGTCTGACCTTCACTAAATCAAGGAGTCTGCTGCTTATCACAGATAAACCTTTAAAAAAAGGTGAACAATATTCTATGTGAACAGTAGTTTATTTGAACAATATTCTATGTGGGTATGCAGATGACTATTTGAATGAGAATTATTGAGACATCATTTCTGTCTATGCACAACATTTGGAGGCAATGCAATGGAATCTTGGCTACTCCTCCAGAGAAAAGTGCCATGGCTGTGTTCTCCAAAACAGCGTGGAGCAGACAGAGACACAAACAAACAGAGAGAGACACAGAGAGAGAGAGAGAGAGAGAGAGAGAGGGAGGGAGAGAGAGAGAGAGAGAGAGAGAGAGAGAGAGAGAGAGAGAGAGAGAGAGAGAGAGAGAGAGAGAGAGAGAGAGAGAGAGCGAGAGAGAGAGAGAGCTCAGCAGGTAGGAATACTGGGAATAGAAGAGTTGTTTGTGATGAGTCAGGAATACCAGGGATACTGTTTGTGGGTGAGTCAGGAATACTGGGAATACTGTTTGTGGGTGAGTCAGAAATACCAGGGATTCTGTTTGTGGGTGAGTCAGAAATACCGTGGATTCTGTTTGTGGGTGAGTCAGGAATACCGGAGATACTGTTTGTGGGTGAGTCAGGAATACCGGAGATACTGTTTGTGGGTGAGTCAGAAATACCGGAGATACTGTTTGTGGGTGAGGACTTGGAGAGCTACAGAGAGGGTGCGTCTCAGAGCTATGCGGAACTGTCCCTTACGGAAAAACAACATGAATTTCACGTGATCTTATGTGAAGTTAATGTGATAATGTGACAACATGAAACTACACGTGATAACATGTAAACGCAACATGTGATAACATGTAACTACACATGAGAAAGCATTTGAGCACTTGTGAAAACATGATCTCGTGAAGTAAATGTGACAACACGGGGATGCAAAATGTCAACGTGTGATACCATGAAACTACACGTGACAACATGCGAGAGTTACATTTTCACATATGAAAGTAGGAATTCGATTTTGAAATGTGAAAGTTTGTCACGTGAAAATGCAAATTCCACATGTGAATCTGCAAATGTAAGGGAAGTAATTAAATGGTATGGGGTTTTAAGGTATGTGGTACACTGTTCAGATAAAATAGTGCAATAATTCATGACAATATGATTACATTTGACATGATCACTTAATACAGATGTTCCTACAGTGCATTGGGAAAGTATTCAGACCCCTTTACTTTTTCCACATTTTGTTACTTTACAGCCTTATTCTAAAATGGATTAAATCGTTTTTTCCCCTCATCAATCAACACACAATACCCCATAATGACAAAGTAAAAACAGGGTTTTAGACAATTTTGCTAGTTTATATATTTAAAAATATATATATCACATTTACATAAGTATTCAGACCCTTTACTCAGTTTATATTATTTTTTTATTTCACCTTTATTTAACCAGGTAAGCCAGTTGAGAACAAGTTCTCATTTACAACTGCGACCTGGCCAAGATAAAGCAAAGCAGTGCGATAAAAACAACAACACAGAGTTACATATGGGGTAAAACAAAACATAAAGTCAAAAATACCACAGAAAATATATATACAGTGTGTGCGAATGTAGTAAGTTATGGAGGTAAGGCAATAAATAGGCCATAGTGCAAAATAGTTATAATTTCATATTAACACTGGAATGATAGATGTCCAAAAGATGATGTGCAAATAGAGATACTGGGGTGCAAATTAGCAAAATAAATAACAATATGGGGATGAGGTAGTTGGGTGGGCTAATTTCAGAATGGCTGTGTACAGGTGCAGTGATCGGTTAGCTGCTCTGACAACTGATGCTTAAAGTTAGTGAGGGAGATAAGAGTCTCCAGCTTCAGAGATTTTTGCAGTTCGTTCCAGTCATTGGCAGCAGAGAACTGGAAGGAATGGTGGCCAAAGGAGGTGTTGGCTTTGGGGATGACCAGTGAGTACTTTGTTGAAGCACCGTTGGCAGCGAATACAGCCTCGAGTCTTCTTGGGTATGACGCTACAAGCTTGGCACACCAGTATTTGGGGAGTTTCTCCCATTCTTCTCTGTAGATCCTCTCAAGCTCTGTCGCTGCACAGCTATTTTCAGGTCTCTCAAGAGATGTTCAAGTCCGGAGTCTGGCCGGGCCACTCTAGGACATTTAGAGACTTGTCCCGAAGCCACTCCTGCGTTGTTTTGGCTGTGTACTTAGGGTCGTTGTCCTGTTGGAAGGTGACCCTTCGCCCCAGTCTGTGATCCTGAGCACTCTGGAGCAGGTTTTCATCAAGGATCTCTCTGTACTTAGCTCTGTTCATCTTTCCCTTGATCCTGACTAGTCTCCCAGTCCCTGCCGCTGAAAAACATCCCCACAGCATGATGCTGCCACCATCACGCTTCACCGTAGAGATGGTGCCAGGTTTCCTCCAGACGTGACAATTGGCATTCAAGGGCAAAGAGTTCAATCTTGGTTTCATCAGACCAGAGAATCTTTAGGTGCCTTTTGGCAAACTCCAAGTGGGCTGTCATGTGCCTTTTACTGAGGAGTGGCCACTCTACCATAAAGGCCTGATTGGCAGAGTGCTGCAGAGATGGTTGTCCTTCTGGAAGGTTCTCCCATCTCCACAGAGGAACTCTGGAACTCAGAGTGACCATCGGGTTCTTGGTCACCTCCCTGACCAAGGCCCTTCTCCCCCGATTGCTCAGTTTGTCCGGGCGGCCAGCTCTAGGAAGAGTATTGGTGGTTCCAAACTTCTTCCAATAAGAATGATGGAGGCCACTGTGTTCTTGGGGACCTTCAATGCTGCAGATATTTTTTAGTACCCTTCCCCAGATCTGTACCTCGACACAATCCTGTGTCGGAGCTCTACGGACAATTCCTTTGACCTCATGGCTTGGTTTTTGCTCTGACATGCATTGTTAACTGTGGGACCTTATATAGACAGGTGTGTGCCTTTCCAAATCATGTCCAATCAATTGAATTTACCACAGGTGGACTCCAATCAAGTTGTAGAAACATTTCAAGGATGGTCAATGGAAACAAGATGCACCTGAGCTAAATGTCGAGTCTCATAGCAAAGGGTCTGAATACTTATGTAAATAAGGTATTTCTGTTTTTAAATTTTGAAATAATTTGCTAACATTTCTGAAAACCTGTTTTTACTTTGTCATTATGGGGTATTGTGGGTAGATTGATGAGGATTTTATTTCTATCCATTTTAGAATAAGGCTGTAACGTAACACAATGTGGAAAAAAGTCAAAGGTTCTGAATATTTTCAGAACACACTGTATATCACCACACCTGGGATTTGAACTCACAACCTCTGGACGTGGGGTACGCTGACCTTTCTGCTGCGCCTCAAAGTCTGTAGCATTCTTGGAAGTCCCTTACACATTCATTACCTATAATGCATCTCTGCACTTAGCAAAAGAGTGCCATCTGCACTGCTATTCTCTCATCATTGATTTAGTTGACTTATTTCAGCAATTTGAGGGTTTTCTGTATAGTTGTCTAATGTTGATGGAGCATATTATTCTGTTTTAATGTTACTCCTGAATCACTATGATAAATATAATATTTCTTCTTGAGTGTATTATAAAAAGCTGAGATTTACTTTGAAGTCTAAAGCGTAGGAATACAGGAGAAATCAGTTGCTGACACAGACATGGTGACTTAGCAGGAAGATTGGAATGCTATGAACCAAGAGGTTGTGAGTTCAAATCCCAGGTGAGGACATTTATGTTTGCAGGGCATCATGTGAAAATTAGATTTCACATGTGAAAGGTTATGTGATCACATGTGAAATATCATCACATGTGAAGTGTACCAAAACCACATGGTTTCACATGATTTCACATGTGAAATCATGTGTTTTCTCTGTAAGGGGTCTGACAGAAAATAATATTTTGATAGGATATCTGTGCATCAAATCAAATCAAATGTTATTGGTCGCATACACATATTTAGCAGATGTTATTGTGGGTGTAGTGAAATGCTTGTGTTCCTAGCTCCAACAGTGCAGTAATACCTAACAAAACACATACATCTAAAAAGTAAAAGAATGGAATCAAGAAATATATAAATATTAGGACGAGCAATGTCGGAGTCCGGAGTATGAAATATATATATATATATACACCACCGGTCAAAAGTGTGGACACACCTACTCATTCAAGGGTTTTTCTTTATTTTTTACTATTTTCTACATTGTAGAATAAATAGTGAAGACATCAAAACTATGAAATAACACATATAGAATCATGTAGTAACCAAAAAAGTGTTGAACAAATCACAATATGTTTTATATTTGAGATTCTTCAAATAGCCACCCTTTGCCTTGATGACAGCTTTGCACACTCTTGGCATTCTCTCAACCAGCTTC